GCATATTTCCTATGATCATAACATCTCCCACTAGACTCCACCACTTCCCAGTAGCAGCAAGAGGAAACCTAGCATTTAACACATGGCCTTGACATTGGGCATAAGTATAGTTGGGCATGCCTTTAATACCAGCACTTGGGGAGAGGGGAGGCAGAAGCAGGCAGATCTCTGTTGAGTTGGAGGCCAGACCGGTCTACACAGTATGTTCCAGGAGAGCCAGGGCTACATAGAAAAACCCTGTCTCACAAACAAAACAAGCTGGACAGTGGTGGCGCATGCCTTTAATCCCAGCACTTGGGAGGCAGAGACAGGCAGATCTCTGTGAGTTGGAGGCCAGCCTGGTATACAAGAGCTAGTTCCAGGACGGACAGGCTCCAAAGTTGTGAGAAACCAGGTCTCGAAAAACAAACAAACAAACAAACAAAAACACATGGCCTTGGGGTCTTTCCTAGATTCAGAACATAGCAAGTGAGGAGCAGAGAACATGTGGCCGGCCGCGTTCTGTGCCTGGCTGTCCTTGCTCTTCGTGGTACTGACAGACACTGATAGATTCTAGTTTATGAAAATCTCAATCTCTCTCTCTCTCTCTCTCTCTCTCTCTCTCTCTTGAGGTAGGTGGGAGATGGACTCTGAAGTATCCCAGGCTGACCTCAAATTATCAAACTAAGGATGACCTTAGTCTTCTGATCCTCTTGCCTCTATCTCCCCAGTGCTGGGATTAAATGTGCACACACCGCCACACTGACTTGTTTTGCTTTTTGGGTTTTGGGGTGTTTTGTTTTGTTTTTCAAAACAGGTTTTCCTGTTAAGCTCTGGCTGGCCTGGAACTCAAGAGATTCACCTTCCTCTGCCTCCCGAGTGCTAGAATTAAAGGCATGCACCACCACCACCTACCCCTGGTTTATTTTTAAATTACTCTTTATTTATTAGATTTATTGTTTTACATGTATGAGTGTTTTGCCTGCATGTGTGTCTATGTGTCAAATATGTGCCTGTAGTCAGAAGATGATCTTGGATTCTCTAAAACTGGGATTAGAGATGGTTGCGAGTCACCAGATGGATGACGGAAACTGAACCTGGGTCTTCAAGAGCAGTAAGTACTCTTAACTACTGAGCCACCTCTCCAGCCCCTACCCATCTCTACTTACACCAGTGCTAAAGAACAGTGTGCTTCCCCATGATAAGCTTTACCACGACCAACTTTACATGGTGCTGGTAATCCAAGCCCAGGTACTCAGGTGTATACAGCCTGCACACTTTTCCCGCTGAGCCATCTCCCCACATCGGAATTTCCCTCATCGTGGACTATGGCTCTGCGCACTTCATCCCTTTTGGTCCTGTGTTTTCATGTCACAGTGTCATTAAATTGTCTGAGCTGGATGGGGTGTTTATTCCTGGAAGCCACTCCCACATGACCAGCCTTCATTTAACTGCGACTGCAAGCCACACCCATACATCTATTCAGTCTTTCTGCAGTCCCAGCTCACTTCCCCTTAGTCAAATCCCCCCTTACCTAAAACTGTCTCCATGACTCCCAGGAAAGTGTGACAGAGGACAGGGTGGCTGGAAAGGGGCAGTTGTTTCAACAAAATGCAGTTAAATTTTTCTCCCCCATTTTTATAAGAACATGCTTCCATGTGAGCACAGTGACACAGGCCCTCCCAAGATCTTCATAAAGTGTCCATGCAATTGAGGGGGCAGCAATGCTTACATTTCATTTGCTTTACTGTAAAGATGTCTTGGCTAGGCACAGTTTTGAAAATATTTAACTTGGCAATTTAAACTCTACCCATGAACAGACTTTGAAACCCAGTCTTGTGTTAGATTTTATTTTGCTTTGGAATCACAAGCTGACCAGAAGGAGAATACCCAGTGGAGTAGTTTGTTTCATTTGGAAGAGAAAACTGTGAAACATCTGTACAGACCTCCAAGCCCAAGTTGTCACCAATGATGAGACCCTGAACATGTGTCTAAGTGTGCACAGCTGGATCAGATAGGGAGCAGGATATTGGCGCTGTGACTAGCATAAGCCTTCACGAGGCTGCCAAACTCAGGAGACCCCAGGCTTAGACCTAGATCTTACAGGATGTCATGAGCACCTTAACGCCAGCAGGTGGAGGGGTTGCCTATGTGGGTTGCTCTGTCGCCATCTAATGGCCTAAAGTAAACATTACACTTCTCATGCAGTCCGAGGAAACTCTGGGCCCAGCAGGAAGTGTTAGAGAATGCACTCAACTGTAGACTGATCTCGTGTATACTCTGAATTACACCCAATCTCTATTGAAGCTCAGAAGAAATATTTTCCAAAACCTTCCTTTTCACGAGTTGATAACAGGTCAATACCTGTTCCACTCCTGATTCCCCCAAAGAAAGGACACTGCTGACAATATTCAGTATTCAGCACTGGCTAGGGGGAGTGTTAGACTGCTTCCCTGAGAGTGCTGTCCTTTGGAATTTGGTTCTGCGAGGCAGCCAGCATCCCCTTTCCATCACATGGGGTCACCTCAGAGGATAAGACAGCTGTCCTTCTCCAAGTCCGTACATCAGGGGCAGGGCCTGAGATTTGACTGGACATTAGGACAACCAAGGGCTGGGCCCAGGACATTTTTAGTCCTAGGGCAGTGATCAGAGAGGCGTTAAGGGTGTTAATCACCAAACCTTCCCCCCACCTAGTGTGCCCCAGCTGCTTGGGCAGGTTCTGAGCCTGTACAGGCCTACTGGAAAACTCACCTGCAACTTCCTAGAGGCAAGCCCCAGGGCTTGTTGGAAAACTGTACCTGTCAAGGCCAGGTACAAGAAAACAGAGCCTTGGGCTTGAGTTTTCCTCCCTGTTTTCTTTACTGGTGATAGGTAGGAGGAAGCCCAGAGGTGGAACCCAGCACCTTAACCGTGAGCACACGCTGCAACGCTGAGCTGCGTCCCAGCCCAATTCCTTTCTAGTTGCTCTTGCTACTCCATGCAAGCTATAGGAGGGCAGGCTTTCTGCTTCATCATCCATGCCTCACAAAGACCCAGGCATGCAGGAGACACATTTGCTAAATGCCTCCCGGTGTGGACGCTGCTCTTTTCATCGACTTTCTGATCCCTTCTGGCTCCTCTCAGTTCCCACCCCTGCCCTCCCTGGCTCAGATCCCAGGTAGGACTACGCTTTTGTCTTTTAGAAGCTTGGACTGATGCCCTCAGCTTGGTCCTTCTCTTCCCCTCTCCTCCCCTCTCCTTGGTTCCTGCGCACTAATGGACATTGCTCTAGGGGATGAGGCTGACTGAGTGTTCTGTGACCATGTCCTGAGCCTGGGTTGAGTTGACAGCTTGAAGGAGTCACGGAGGTGGCCTTATTCATTCTCTCCATCTTTCCTGAGTGAGTCCTCTGTGCCCACCCCCATGTCCCGGTCTGAGAGGACTGCAATAGAGCAGTCAGCTGAGATTCCTCGCGCTTAGGAGGCTGCTGACACAGTAAAGCAAGGCTGGCATTAAGTAAATAAGACTGTGTGACAGGCTTCCTGATATGTGAGTCTAAGTCATGGACACCAAGGACATCACCAAACTAGACTTAAGATGTCCTGGGCGATTCCCAGGGAAAGTAAAACCTACAGATAAACCTCCATGCTGAGGAGCTGGTAGTTAGGTAGTGGGTAGGCAGAGGAAGGAAGAGGGGGAGGGAGCCACTGAGAACAGCAACAGCATGAGCTCCCTTCCCAAGATCACTCTTATATCACCGAGGCAAAGAGGTTACAGCTGAAAACCCAGAGCATCACTACATCGGATGGTGGTTTACTAAGGCTCCATGTAGTTTAGAAGCAGCTTTGTAGATTCAGGAACCCAGTTGCTCAGCAGAGGTCGGGGTGCCATGTTCAGCAAACAAAAGCATACCTACCCAATTGGACCCTCACACTGAAAGACCCTACAGGCCCCCTCCTCAAAACCCACAGCTAGCATGCTCCTGGGGGAACGTCCTGTTTGCTTTTAAAAAAATTCTCTGGATCAGCAGCCAGCCTGCTCCCGTAAGAACATCCCATGTGCTTGAGAGAGCAAGATATCTATGAGATAGAGATAGGAAGACTGCAAGGCAAGATGTCAATAAGATAGGACATCAACAAAGCAGGTTAGCTATAAGATAGGAACAGGATGACTGTTGCCAGGCATCCATGCTGAGAGAGGAAACCATTCATGCCCCCGCCTCATTCCGATAACCACGCTTTTGCTTCTGTAAACTTGCTTTTTGCTGACACCCATGCTGAGAGAGGAAACCATTCATGCCCCCGCCTCATTCCAGTAGACCAATAACCACGCTTTTGCTTCTGTAAGCTTGCTTTTGCTCTCCCCTATAAGAAGCCCGCCCTCCAGTTGGCAGGTGCGCAAGTCTTCCGAGAGATCTTGCTGCCCGCAGGTACCTGTGTCTACTCAATAAACCTCTTGCGATTTGCATCCGTGCAATCTCGGTCTGTTCCTTGGCGTTGGGGAGGTCTCCTCCCGAAAAAGGTCCTCGTCGAGGGTCTTTCATTTGGTGCATTGGCTGGGAATTGAGACCCCCCCACCCAGGGACCACCGACTCACCATCGGGAGGTAAGCTGGCCAGCTCCGAGTCAGTTGTCTTCTGTGTTCTTTGTTCAGTTGTCTTCTGTGTTCTCTGTTGAGGGTCTTCCGTGTTCTTTGTCGAATTCTGTACACTCAGGTCTGAGTGCGCTGTACCTGGCGGAGGGAAGGGGGCTGACGAGCCTGGGACTTCTCCCCTGCAGTCCTGGGAGACGTTCCACGGACATTAGAGTCAGTCCGCAAGGACATCTGGAGCCCGATTCTTCGGAGCTCAGCCCGTATCCGAAGGATACGCGGTTCTAGTTGGAGGAGAGGGATCCGGACCCTCAGAGCCTCCATTTAGGTTTTTGCTTTCGGTTTTACGCCAGAGCTGCGCTGCGCATCTGTTCTATCTCTGTCTTTGTGGTTTTTTTTGTTGTTGTTGTTGTTCTTTTGTTTTTATATTTGGTTCCCTTCTCTTTGAGAAGATGGGACAAACCCTAACCACCCCATTGAGCCTTACTTTAGACCACTGGCCTGACGTCCGCGCCCGAGCCGACAACCTGTCAGTCGATGTTCGAAAGAAGAAATGGGTGATCTTTTGTTCGTCCAAGTGGCCTACTGTTGGGGCAGAATGGCCAAGAGACGGCACTTTCAATCTCAATATTATTTCCCAGGTTAAGGCAAAAGTGTTCAGCCCAGGACCACATGGACACCCGGATCAACGTGCCTACATTGTTACCTGGGAAAGTTTGGCACGTGACCCGCCCCTATGGGTCCAGCCCTTTGTCATCTCTAATAACATCTCTAACAAACCCCAACCTCCTCTTACCCCTACAGCCCCTAAGGCTCCCCCTCCCCAGGACAGCCAACCGCTTGTGCCTCTTCCTCCTGCACCTTCCCCTGCCCCACCCTCTTCTTCCCTATACCCCACCATTCTTAAGGAGAAGGTTCCTAAAGAAAAACCTCCGAAACCTACCCCTGCACCCCCTCCCGTCCTTCCTCCGAACCCTGACTCTCCCCTCACTGACCTTCTATCAGAAGAACCCCCTCCTTATGCAGATCCAGAGGATCCAGAGAGTCCGGATGGGCCAGAGACTGCAGCGGCGGGTGGACAGCCTGCACAAGTCTCCCCAGCCCCTTCACCCATGGCGGGAAGACTCCGGGGAAGCCGCGAACCACCCTCTGATTCCACTACTCATGCCCTACCCTTGAGAGAGGGCCCAAACGGCCGACAGCAATACTGGCCATTCTCTGCCTCAGATCTATACTATTGGAAACACCATAACCCCCCATTCTCCAAAGATCCAATAACGCTGACTAACCTGATTGAGTCTATTTTAGTCACCCACCAGCCCACTTGGGATGATTGCCAGCAACTCTTGCAAACCCTGCTGACCTCGGAGGAAAAGCAAAGAGTCTTTTTGGAGGCTCGGAAAAACGTCCCAGGCGACAGCGGTAGCCCAAACCTTTTGCCTAACAAAATTGATGAGGCCTTCCCTCTGACGTGACCTGACTGGGATTTCACCACAGCTGCAGGTAGGGGACACCTACGCCTCTATCGCCAGTTGCTAATCGTGGGTCTCCGAGGGGCAGCACGCCGCCCCACCAATTTGGTCCAGGTTAAGCAGTAATACAGGGAAATGAAGAGACACCCTCAGCCTTCTTAGAAAGGCTCAAGGACGCTTATAGGATGTATACCCCCTATGACCCTGAAGATCCAGGGCAAGCTACAAGTGTATCCATGTCTTTCATTTGGCAGTCTAGTCCGGATATTAGAAGCAAATTGCAGAGGCTTGAGGGTCTCCAGGGATATACTATACAAGACTTACTAAAAGAGGCAGAGAAGATTTTCAATAAGAGAGAGACTCCAGAAGAAAAAGAGGAAAGATTATGGCAGAGAATGAAAGAGCGGGAGGATGAAAGAGACAAGAGGAGAAACAAGGAATTAACTAGGGTGTTGGCCACCGTGGTTCAGGGACAGAATAGAGAGGGAGATAGGAAGGGAGAACGACGTAGGGCCAAGGTGGACAGAGACCAATGCGCCTATTGTAAAGAACGAGGACACTGGATTAAGGATTGCCCCAGGAGGAACAAAGGACCTAGGAAGCCCAGGCCCCAAACCTCCCTCCTCACCTTAGAGGATTAGGGAACTCAGGGCCAGGAGCCCCCCCTGAGCCCAGGATAACTCTTGATGTCGGGGGGCAACCAGTCACCTTCCTAGTAGACACCGGGGCCCAGCATTCAGTCCTGACCCAGATTTCAGGGCCACTCAGCGAACGATCTGCTTGGGTCCAAGGAACCACTGGTGGCAAGAGATATCGATGGACAACTAATCGGAAGGTTCAGCTGGCTACTGGTAAGGTGACACATTCCTTTCTGCATGTTCTGGACTGTCCCTATCCCTTGTTGGGTAGGGACCTCCTCATCAAGCTAAGGGCCCAAATTCATTTCGAGGACACAGGGGCTAAGATAACGGGCCCAGATGGAGGTCCCCTCCAAATTTTGACCCTCCAGCTGGAGGATGAATATAGACTTTGCGAGCCCCCGGAGCAACAGACAATTGACATGGCCCCTTGGCTCAATGACTTTCCATTGGCATGGGCAGAGACCGGGGGAATGGGGATGGCTATACAACAACCTCCACTCATCATTCAATTGAAGACAACAGCTACTCCTGTTTCAATCAAGCAGTACCCCATGTCCCATGAAGCATATCAAGGCATAAGGCCCCACATAAAAAGACTGCTGGATCAGGGCATTCTCACTCCCTGCTGGTCACCATGGAATACCCCCCTTTTACCAGTAAAGAAACCGGGGACTGGGGACTACCGGCCAGTGCAGGATTTGAGGGAGGTCAACAAAAGGGTGGAGGACATACACCCCACGGTCCCCAACCCCTACAACCTATTGAGCACTCTGCCGCCATCCCACGTTTGGTATACCGTATTAGACTTAAAGGATGCCTTCTTCTGCTTGCGGCTGCATCCGGAGAGCCAGTCCCTTTTTGCCTTTGAATGGAAGGACCCAGATCTTGGACTTTCGGGTCAATTGACCTGGACACGGCTCCCCCAGGGGTTCAAGAACAGCCCAACCCTCTTTGATGAGGCCTTACACCGGGACCTGGCAGACTTTCGGGTTCAGTACCCTGCCCTGACATTGCTCCAATACATAGATGACCTCCTTCTGGCGGCTGCTTCGGAGAAAGAATGTCAGGAGGGTACAAAGGCCCTCCTACAGACATTGGGACAAGCAGGATATCGGGCATCAGCCAGGAAGGCTCAGATATGCCAGAAGCAAGTCATTTACCTAGGTTATCAATTAAAAGATGGACAGAGATGGCTGACCGAAGTGCGCAAACAGACTATCACTAACATTCCTGCCCCCTGGAACCCCCGCCAGCTAAGAGAGTTCCTGGGAACAGCGGGATACTGCCGCCTCTGGATCCCAGGGTATGCAGAGATGGCTGCATCCTTGTATCCATTAACTAAACAAGGAACAATGTTTGATTGGGGAGAGGACCAACAGAGGGCTTTCAAAAACATTAAGAAAGCCTTGTTAGCCTCCCCTGATCTAGGCCTCCCTGACATTACCAAGTCTTTCGATTTGTTCGTGGATGAAAAACAGGGTTACGCTAAAGGGGTCCTAACTCAAAAACTGGGCCCTTGGAGGCATCCTGTAGCTTACCTCTCAAAGAAACTCGGCTTCAGGGTGGCCGCCCTGTCTGCGAATGGTAGCAGCTATTGCAGTCCTCACCAAGGATGCGGGTAAACTGACTCTGGGCCAGCCATTGACTATCCTGGCGCCCCATGCGGTGGAGGCCCTGGTCAAACAGCCTCCAGACCGCTGGCTCTCTAATGCCCGCATGACTCATTACCAAGCCATGCTCCTGGATACAGACTGGGTGCACTTCGGACCTGTGGTCGCTCTTAATCCCGCGACCTTGCTCCCCCTGCCGGAGGAAGCCGAACACCATGACTGCCTCCAGATCCTTGTGGAAATACACGGGACCAGGCCGGACCTGACGGATCAACCCCTCCGAGATGCTGACTATACTTGGTATACGGATGGCAGCAGTTTCCGGCAAATGGGGAACAAAGAGCGGGGGCGGCAGTGACAATGGAGACTGAGGTAATATGGGCAGAAGCCCTTCCCGCAGGCACCTCCGCCCAGAGGGCTGAACTCATCGTTCTGACCCAGGCACTCCAGATGGCAGAAGGCAAGAGGCTAAATGTTTATACGAATAGCCGATATGCCTTCGCCACGGCTCACATACATGGGGAAATTTATCGAAGACGTGGGCTGCTGACCTCAGAAGGAAAGGAAATTAAGAACAAACTTGAGATACTGGCACTCCTAAAGGCCTTATTTTTGCCCCAAAAATTAAGTATTATGCACTGCCCTGGGCATCAAAGAGGCCATAGCCCTGAGGCAAAGGGAAATAGACTGGCAGATGACACTGCTCGAGAGATTGCTATGAAATCAACCAAGACCTCCCAAGCTTTCCCCTTGATGAACCCGGAAGAGGCCCCAGCCTCCAGTTCGCTACCCTATAGTAAAGAGGACATTGATCTCCTAAAGAAAATGGGGGCCACATATGACCCCAGAAAGCAACATTGGGTTTTTAAGGAAAAGATTGTTATGCCAACAAAACATACTTATAAAATAATAGACTACTTACATAAATTGACCCATTTGGGGCCAAAGAAGATGAAGACCTTGTTGGACAGACAGGAGTCAGGCCAATACCTCCTGAACAGGGATGGAACCCTGCAAAAAGTGACTGATGAATGCCAAGCCTGCGCTCAGGTAAACGCAGGCAGAACCAAGCTTGGTTCAGGAGTTCGGGTACAGGGACATCGTCCCAGAGAACATTGGGAGATCAACTTTATGGAGGTCAAGCCAGGTCTATATGGCTACAGATACCTCTTGGTGTTCATAGACACTTTTTCAGGATGGGTGGAAGCCTTTCCCACCAAACACAAAACTGCAAAGGTGGTGACCAAAAAGCTCTTGGAAGAAATCTTTCCCAGGTACGGAATGCCTCAAGTCTTAGGCACCGATAATGGCCCCGCCTTCGTCTCCCAGGTAAGTCAGTTGGTGGCCAAACTCTTAGGGGTCGAATGGAAATTACATTGTGCGTATAGACCCCAAAGTTCAGGGCAGGTAGAACGCATGAATAGAACAATTAAGGAGACCTTATCCAAATTAACGCTTGCAACTGGCACTAGAGACTGGGTGCTCCTCTTACCACTGGCCCTGTACAGGGCCCGCAACACTCCGGGGCCTCATGGACTGACACCTTTTGAAATCCTATATGGAGCTCCTCCCCCATTTATAAATTTCTTTGATTCAAACATTGCCGATTTTGCTGACAGTCCTTCTCTGGAAGCCCATTTACAGGCGTTACAGATTGTGCAAAGAGAGGTTTGGAAGCCACTCGCCGCTGCTTACCGAGACCAACTGAACCAGCCGGTGGTACCGCATCCCTTCCAGATAGGAGATACTGTTTGGGTCCGCAGACACCAGACTAAAAACTTGGAACCTTGGTGGAAAGGCTCTTACACTGTCCTTCTGACCACTCCAACGGCACTGAAAGTTGACGGCATCGCAGCCTGGATCCACGCCTCACACGTGAAGGCCGCCCATACTGCTGAGAAAGCGGAGCCCGCCGCGACCCCAGCATGGAGAATCCAACGCACTCAAAACCCCTTAAAGATAAGGCTTACCCGTGGGGCCCTTTGACCATTATATGGGCCCTACTAAAACTGGGGATGGTGACACAAGAAAATAGCCCGCACCAGATTTTCAATGTAACCTGGAGGGTTACAAATCTCATGACAGGAAAAGTAGCCAATACCACCTCCCTGTTGGGAACGATGATGGACGCTTTCCCAACCCTGTAGTTTGACCTTTGTGATTTGGTGGGAGAGTCTTGGAACCCCTCAGATCAGGAACCATTCCCGAGATATGGCTGCCATCATGGGGGGGGCAGCATGGGACCAGGAACAAAGACTTCTATGTTTGTCCAGGACAAAACACACAAAAGGGGTGTGGAGGGCTGGGGGACGGTTACTGTGCCCAATGGGGTTGCGAAATGACGGGGGAGGCTTACTGGAAACCCTCCTCCACCTGGGATCTAATCACGCTCAGACGAGGAACCACACCTGGGTACTGGGGAAGGGGGCCCTGGACTTGCGGGGGGGAAAAGCTTGTGGCCCCTGCTATGATACCGCTACCGCCACCAATGTCCAGGGCGCCACCCCAGGAGGTAGATGCAACCCCTTAGTCCTAGATTTCACTACGCAAGGGAAAAAGGCCTCTTGGGACGGACCCAAATCATGGGGATTGCGCCTATACCGTTCTGGATATGATCCTGTCACTATGTTTTCATTAACCCAACAGGTGATGAATGTAGGTCCTCAGCTATCAATAGGGCCAAATCCAGTCCTACCAGAACAAAAATCCCCTTCTCAGCCTGCACAAGCCTTACCCCCAGCAGCACATCATAATACCTCAATGACCCCCTTAGCCAGCAATAGTACCCCTAGCACACCTACCACTACTATCACTACCCTGTCTCCCTGTCAACCTGGAACAGGGGATAGACTACTCAACTTGGTACAAGGAGCCTATCTGGCTCTCAATTTCACAGATCTGAACAAGACCCAAGATTGCTGGCTATGTCTGGTCTCAAGACCCCCTTACTATGAAGGAGTGGCCGTTCTAGGTAACTATACCAACCAAACCTCTGCACCCACCAGCTGCACTTCCATCCCCCAGCATAAGCTGACCCTGTCTGAAGTATCTGGACAAGGACTTTGCATAGGGACTATTCCCAAAACCCACCAGGCCTTATGTAACTCTACCCAAAAGGTGTCCAGAGGAACCTATTACCTAGCTGCCTCCAACGGGACCTATTGGGCATGCAGTACTGGATTAACCTCATGCGTTTCAGCTGCTGTGCTCAGTGAAACCTCTGATTATTGCGTTCTAATTGAATTATGGCCCAAAGTTACATACCATGATCCTGAATACATCTATAGTCATTTTGAAGGGAGACCCTGATTTAGGAGAGAACCAGCCTCCCTAACTTTGGCCTTATTGCTGGGAGGCATCACTATGGGGGTAATAGCGGCAGGGGTGGGCACAGGTACCACTGCTCTTATGGAGACCAGCCAATTTAGACAACTTCAGGCAGCCATGCATACTGATATCAAGGCACTGGAAGAATCGGTTAGCGCACTCGAAAAGTCATTAACCTCCCTCTCAGAGATAGTCCAAAACAGGAGGGGGCTAGACATGTTGTTTTTGCGAGAGGGAGGGTTATGTGCGGCACTCAAAGAGGAATGCTGCTTCTATGCGGACCACACTGGGCTGTTGAGAGACAATATGACAAAGCTTAGAGAGAGGTTAAGACAGAGACAAAAGCTGTTCGAATCACAACAAGGATGGTTCGAAGGATGGTTTAATAAGTCTCCCTGGTTTACAACTCTATTGTCTTCTTTGATGGGTCCCTTGATTATCCTCCTTCTGATACTCCTGTTTGGGCCCTGCATCTTAAACCGCCTGGTCCAGTTTATAAAAGACAGGCTGTGAGTCATTCAGGCCCTAGTACTGACCCATCAGTATCACATGTTACCACAACAAGATACCAAGGTTCTGTAATTGCTTTGAGTAAAAGATTTAACTCAATAATAATAAAAAGAAAAAGGGGGAAATGAAAGACCCTACAGGCCCCCTCCTCAAAACCCGCAGCTAGCATGCTCCCGGGGGAACATCCTGTTTGCTTTTAAAAAATTCTCTGGATCAGCAGCCAGCCTGCTCCCATAAGAACATCCCATGTGCTTGAGAGAGCAAGATATCTATGAGATAGAGATAGGAAGACTGCAAGGCAAGATGTCAATAAGATAGGACATCAACAAAGCAGGTTAGCTATAAGATAGGAACAGGATGACTGTTGCCAGGCATCCATGCTGAGAGAGGAAACCATTCATGCCCCCGCCTCATTCCGATAACCACGCTTTTGCTTCTGTAAACTTGCTTTTTGCTGACACCCATGCTGAGAGAGGAAACCATTCATGCCCCCGCCTCATTCCAGTAGACCAATAACCACGCTTTTGCTTCTGTAAGCTTGCTTTTGCTCTCCCCTATAAGAAGCCCGCCCTCCAGTTGGCAGGTGCGCAAGTCTTCCGAGAGATCTTGCTGCCCGCAGGTACCTGTGTCTACTCAATAAACCTCTTGCGATTTGCATCCGTGCAGTCTCGGCCTGTTCCTTGGCGTTGGGGAGGTCTCCTCCCGAAAAAGGTCCTCGTCGAGGGTCTTTCAACACGACCAGCAAATGATTAACCTATGTTGCAAAATATGCTAACCAGGCACTGTGAGTACATACCAAATATCATCGCTGCAAGATGATGACAAAGGCTTTGAGGCTGACTCTTGTATATCAAACTGAGAGGCAGGATGGTGTGAGGGCATTGATTTGTTAAATACAGCTATGAGTAGAAGCAAATACATGTGTTAAGATTCTCCTTTCTAGAAAATTAAACCATCAGATGGTGTTTGGAGAACAAGGGATAACAAAAATACACATTGCCAGTTTTTCTCAGTGTGTGAAAAATTCTGAAGAAGTATCTTGGCTTCACTACCCACAATATCTTTCACGGCAGAATGTAAGCCCTAACTAGGGAGGACAGGCCAAGAACCACAATTCCTTCAGTTCAGTTCCTTCTCAGCTCACCAGTGCCTGCTGTTGGCTGGTAGCTCACTGCACTCAGAGGGGTTAGAGAGCTAGCTCAGCAGTAGAGCGCTTGCTGCTCTTCCAGAAGACCCAAGTTCGGTTCCTAGCACCCATGTCGGGTGGCTTGTTGGGTGGCTTGCAGCCACCTATAACTCCAGCTATAGAAGATCAGACACACTCTTCCAGTCTTCTCCCTCTCTCTCTCTCTCTCTCTCACACACACACACACACACACACAGCACGTGCACACACATGCTAAAGATAATTAAAAAGGTTTGGATCTTCCGATTGCAAAATGATCATAAATAATTCATATCAGTTCATTCTTTTCCTTCTTAAAATATGTTTTCTTTTTAAAATAAACACTACAGTGATTTATTCTGCCTTCATCAAAAATTTTAAATATTTAAATTTTTTTTTGGATATGAGTGTTTTGCCTGTTATATGTAGCACATACATGCCAGAAGTAAGTTTCAGATTTCCTGGGACTGGAGTCATAAGCATCCGGGAGCCTCTGTGTGGCTGCTAGAAAACTGTCCTGGGGGGGCTGGAGAGATGGCTCAGCGGTTAAGAGCATTGCCTGCTCTTCCAAAGGTCCTGAGTTCAATTCCTAGCAACCACATGGTGGCTGACAACCATCTGTAATGAGGTCTGGACAGAATATTGTATGCATAATAAATAAATAAATATTTAAAAAAAAAGAAAATAAAAAAAAGAAAACTGTCCTGGGTCCTCTGTGAGAGGAGCAAGTCCTCTCAACCACTGAGCCATCTCCAGCCCCCATTCTGCCTTTCTAATTCACCTACAACGAGTTGAGAAATCACTTCAGAAACTTGGGGTGCCTACACATAATATCCTCAAATGCAGTTCCATAGTCATTTCCTCACCACCAAGAGGCATCTCCTGCCTGGACTGGTCTGTCTCTTAGTGTTTCATATGAATCCACTTTTGCCTACCTGATCCATTTCTCCACACAACAGTGGTCTTTAGTATCTGCCTAATGGATTAAGAAGGACGCCTGAATCCTGCCCGAACTCGGGCCTTTGAGTCTGTGCGAGTAGAGGACTTGGTTGCACAATGCCTCAAGCCCACCATTTTCATTCACCCAGAATTCCCTCTAAGGGCTGTCAGAAATCCGGTCCTGCGCTGGGGCATGGGGGCGCACGCCTTTAATTCTAGCACTCAGGAGGCAGCGGCAGGCAGATCTCCGAGTTCATGGGCAGCCTTGGTCTACATTGCGAGTTACTGGCTAGCTAAGCCTACAATTAGAGCGCCTGTCTGAGAGAGAGAGGGAGAGAGAGAGAGAGAGAGAGAGAGAGAGAGAGA